ATGTTCTGCCTGTAGGATCTCAATCATGACACCCAAATGCCACGCAAAAATAAAACAACCAGAGTTATGACCCAAAACAAGCTAATGTCAAAGCACGAAATTATTTCGTGGACGATGAGTACTTGGTGACAGCCTTGGTACCCTCTGAGACAGCGTGCTTGGCAAGTTCACCGGGTAGGATGAGCCGAACGGATGTCTGGATCTCTCGGGAAGAAATGGTTGACTTCTTATTGTAAGCCGCCAACTTGGATGCCTCAGTAGCAACGCGTTCGAAAATATCTTGGACGTAATTAGATTCAGATCATACTATGGTAGGCATGATGAATAACTAACCGTTGACGAACGAGTTCAGAATAGACATGGCACGGTTGGAAATACCGGTGTCAGGGTGGACCTGCTTCAGGACTGTCGCAAAATGCGGGTTAGAACACACGGCTTTCATCAAGGGCGGAAATGGCATACCCTTGTAGATGTAAGAACTGTAAGTTTCCTTGCGAGTCTTGGAGCGCTTCTTCTTTTCGCCAGAAGCAGCGGTCTTCTTGCCGGCGTCCTTTTTTTCGGGAGCCTTGCTGGCGGTAGCGGGAGCCTTAGAGGCGGGCTTCTTGTCGGCGGCCTTGGGGGGCATTTTGGCGGTTTCAGAAATGAGCAGGATAATTTACCAAGAAATTTTTTTGAATATGGTTGAAGGCGAGGGTTAGACAGCGGGTGGTGATGAAAGTTGATGGCGGAGGTTGAAAGATCGGGGGGTGGGCTGGGCTTTTGTAGCTGAACGCGAAGCAGTACGAGTGGGTTACTGATTGCTATGGCTGGTAGTGGATGATGGGAGGGAGCGCGCCACGGTCGCGCGTGTTTTCCGATGCTTGAGTGACTGATCCTACCACGTTGTCGGGAAAAAACCGGGGCTCTAATACAGCTGGTGCGTTGGCACGTAAAGGGCACTAGCTACTGACCCAAGGCACTCACTAGAAGCCAGATTGGCAGCACCACAAAATGTTAATTACATAATCCAGATCTAGTGCTATCATTGGTGCCCACGGCCTCGTCTTCACACTACTACCCAGTGATTTTGAGCCACCTGCCCGCTTTTGCCTTGCCCTTTTTTTTTGTTTTGTTTTTTTTTTTTTTCGTCCTTTCCATGTCTAGTCCGAGCAGCCTACCGATTTTCTGATTGGCTACTACAAAAGGACAACAACTGCCGCAGTTCATAACGGGTTAATAGCTTGGAGGAATATGTACTGGGAAGCCATCCGCACAGTAGTACTAGTATTGCACTTGCCCTCCTTTAGCCATAAGGAATCGATCCCACAGCTATACCAATCATCCTGTGTATTGCTTGATGGTAGTACTTCAGAGAATTAGCAATAGCATTACTATAGGGAATCATGATCTGATTGCATTGCGAATGCCTTACGAGTAGCACATACTCAAATAGACAGCGGATTCCTGTTTTCCATTAATTGGGGCCTCGCTGTAATGAAGCTACGTAGCTACTACCAGGTGCCACTGGCCAGAAGAAGAAGAAAAAGGCTAGATGGCAAGTTAAGATGGTAAAGATGGCAACACAGAAAGATGCGTCATTGTTACGACGATTCTGAATAATGCTGGATTTCAAGTTAATTGGTTCATCACAATCGCAGCCCGGAGATTACGAGACATTATATGCTTCGGTTTACACTACATAACATGATCCCTACAACCTGCGACAAGAATTCAGTCCACCAGGCAGAGAATATGCGATGGGCAACAGCAAGGCACGTAAATCGTATTTCTGTAACTGGTAGTGCGGCTAAACGCACGCAGCACGTAACTATTCCCACCAGCAAATTAGAAGCACATCCGTCACCTGAACGATGGGGCTGAGGATTTGGATCTGCTTGACTGACAATGTACGGAGTAACTAAGTCGTAGCCGCTTCGAGTACTACCTACTAGTACCAGTAGGTAACGGGGTCGCCCTGTGTACGCCATTGCAAAAATAGAGGGGGGCTAACAGCCGGCGGGGGGCGAATGGATACTTTGGTTATTTTAACTTGATTGTTTTCCCTCTGCACTCCCATTTTCCAAAGTAGGACTAGCGCCATTTGGGGGCCCGGTGTGCCACCAGCCTGGTGGGTGATCTAGGATCACGTCTTGTACGCGCCAAAAAGTACTTAACCTCTACACCCCCCGCCCAACCACAATTCTGTTGTTCGAAATCTTGCAATTATCATCATCGCATCCTGCACGCCTCCGCTCTTATCGCACTTCGTTCAACGTCAAAAGCCACATTTCGTTCACCAAAACACAAATCACATTCAAAATGACTGGCGCAGGAAAATCTGGTGGCAAGGCCTCTGGTTCCAAGAATGCTCAATCGTAAGTCTGCTCCAGGCCGGCATCATTACGTCTCATTAATCTTGTTGTGTAGGCGTTCTTCTAAGGCTGGTCTGGCATTTCCTGTTGGTCGTGTCCACCGTCTTCTCCGAAAGGGCAACTATGCTCAGCGTGTTGGCGCTGGTGCCCCTGTTTACTTGGCTGCTGTTCTCGAGTACCTCGCTGCCGAAATTCTCGAGTTGGCCGGTAACGCTGCCCGCGACAACAAAAAGACTCGTATCATCCCCCGTCACTTGCAACTGGCTATCCGAAACGATGAGGAGTTGAACAAGTTGTTGGGTCATGTCACTATTGCCCAGGGTGGTGTTTTGCCCAATATTCACCAGAGTAAGCTGTGCAAATTCATGTTTTATCGAGTTACGCTAATCAGTCCCAAGACCTACTGCCGAAGAAGACTGGTGGCAAGAGCGGCAAGAATGCGAGCCAGGAGTTGTAAATTTGTAGTTGGCTTCTGTTTTCATGCGGGTTGGTTTAGGTTGCAATGACAAAGGGGTCACGGTTCAGGGTTCACGGTTATTTGCTTTTATTACGCGCAAGGGTTGTACAATAATCCCACGGCTATGGTCATGAATGAAAACATTTTCCAGACACGTTGGCCGTCTTCAAGTGAAATTGTGATATGTTTATCTGGGTGGTGGGTTAGGTGTCAGTCAGAAATCATGTCTCGGTGCTTACGCTTGCAACTGGTGCCAAATTATTAAGTTATTTATTGTTTTCCTCTCACGTCAAATGATAATACAAGCATGATACAGGTATCCTGCAGGCACAACATCTGGTAACAGTATTGGGCTGTGGTGGCAAACTAATGGGGGGGTTATGTTCGACTTGAATATACTTCACCGTTTGTAGCCTTGGCCCGTGACCTTGGCCCATGGGGAAATATTTAAATGCGGCGGTTCGATAAATTCGATCTAGAGCTACAAATACATATCGTCTGCCTCTCTGGTCCAGCTCGTATTTATACTCAAGTGTCAGTGTCGGTTGACGGAGTGTGGAGGCGCTAGCATTTATCAGTCAAATGGCTTCTCAGAGAACAATGTTCAGCAGACAAATGAGGCACTCACGATCCAAAATCGGCGATGGCAAATTTCGCTCGTACTTGGAGCCTGATCGGGTTCGTTAGCTAGCCGGTTGTGTTGTAATCGAGTCTTTCGATGCCATACCTCCAGGTGCAGTCGGTGGGATATATGGATCAGGGTGCTTCCACGTATCAAGCAACTTCTCCGTCTCGGATAGCAAGGCCTGTATTGGTCGTCAGTGTGTGGCCCTGGTTGGTGGAGGTACGTTGTTTCGGCTTACCCTTTGCTGTCTGGGATCGGTAATGTTGCGATTTGCCTCGAACAGCGATCGTATGTAAAGTGCTTGCCCGCGCCAAAGCTGGCGTTGGACTGCCCAGTCCAACGCCAATTTCAGGGAGCGCCGGTAGAGCGAACTGTGCGTGAAGCTTTAGCAAGTCTGCTTTCTACTTTTCTGTGGCACTGTCGCGTTCGTGTGTTTCTGGTCTTGGGGTCTTACATGGCAGCCCGTCGTGACGACATGGCAAGTTTGATGTTGATCTAGCTTGTCCGTCGTCGGCGGTGCAGCTCAGCGGCGTGGGGATGCTCTGCGCGGTTTGACGCAATTATTGATCGTCAATCGACTTGTTTGGGTTATTTTTTGTGCCTTTGTGACGGTGTAGCTGCCGCAACCGTGTTGTGCCGGGATTCCTGGCGGCTTTTTGACGATGTTCCTCGAGAGCTCTGGACATGATCTTCAAATAACTACCAGGTAGCCATGCTTCGCAGTGTTGCTGCCTTGTGGCCTGGTGTGGCGCATGCCCGTCCGTCCTGCATCAACCACCCACACTGGAAGTGCACTGCCTACCCTACACTGGGCGCTATCCGCTCTATCCGTCCGGCACTCAGTTGGTATTGCTGGGTTCCTTGTGATTTTCATTTTCTGGTGCATTTTCTATTTACATATATGGAATCTGCTATGTTGATACGGGTGCGTAGATACATTCAAGCGTGCTGGCGTGTTGTCTCGTATGTGCTAGATGTAAGTATATACTAATGTGGCAGCAGTGCGGACTATAGCATCACTTGTTTAGTCGAGTGATTGATTGGTTAGTTCATTGAACGGCGCTCCTGCGCCTGTCCTACAACCGAAACTACCCGTAGTTATTGAGTTAGCTAAAATTATCGTCACATATGCTACGCGGGTTTCCTGCGTCTGAAGATGAACGGTATTAAGTGTTTAGAGATGCCGAAGAACTCGAGCATCATGAGTGTAACAGCCCCTGCACGCACCAAGGGGCATGTACGGAGTACAAGCATGGAGTAATAACCGCAGCCACTTCTACCCACACAGAAAAGACAGGGCCGCGGCCATTCACCCGAACCCAATTCCTCATTTTTTTCGACGGCTCCACAACAGCTAGACCACCCTTGGTTTCAATTGTACTTCACATAATAATAGGTCATACACACTCGGAGAACACGGGTTCGCTCACGTTTTCACAACAATCTACTCCGTACTCAGCCACCTAAGTCACCCAGCATTGACATCGCTACATAGTGCAATTATCACCACCGCCCACCGCCTGCCACTCACTCTGTTTGTTACAGGAATCACAAGAAGACAGCCAGAATGTTGTCCAGGAGGATAGCCACCGCTGCGCGCATGGCGCCGTTGCGCTCTATGCACCCCCTTCGCTCCAACTACCTGGCGATGCTTCCGCCCCTGATGCAAACTGTGCGAACATACTCCGACAAGGTAGTAAAAGTACCACAAATGGCCGAGTCCATATCAGAGGGAACACTGAAGCAGTTCTCAAAGAGCATTGGCGACTTCGTGGAGCAGGATGAAGAGATTGCGACGATCGAGACTGACAAGGTATGTGACCCACCAAATAATTGCACACTGGCACCAAGAATGCTCTAACACCCCAACAAGATCGACGTTGCTGTCAACGCCCCAGAAGCCGGGACTATCAAGGAGTTTCTTGCCAGCGAGGAAGACACCGTAACCGTCGGACAAGACCTTGTCCGTATCGAGCTCGGTGGAGCGCCGTCAGGCAGTAAAGAAGAACCCGCAGCCTCAAAAGATGAAGCAAAGGAAGCAACAGAATCAGAGCCAGTAAAGACGGAGACCAAACCGCAGCAGAGCCAGACAAGCCTAAACCCCGAACCCAAGCAAACAGAAAAGCCAGCGACAACAAGGGCAGCATCCAAGGAAGCTCAGTCAGCTCAGTCAGAACCAAGCCAGACGTCCACTGCATCAGCCTCTACAGGAAGCCGAGAAGAGCGCCGAGTATGTCATGCCAATATCAACATCTTGAACGAGTTATCCAATTATTAACGCGGACACAGGTCAAGATGAACCGTATGCGCCTTCGTATTGCCGAACGCCTCAAGCAATCACAAAACACTGCTGCCTCACTCACGACATTCAATGAGGTGGACATGTCAAACATCATGGAGTTCCGCAAGTTATACAAGGACGACGTGCTTAAAAAGACAGGCGTAAAATTGGGGTTCATGAGCGCCTTCTCCCGCGCGGCTGTTCTCGCCATGCGGGACATTCCGGCGGTCAATGCCTCCATCGAGGGCCCTAACGGCGGCGATACCATTGTCTACCGCGATTACGTGGATATCAGCGTCGCAGTGGCTACCGAGAAGGGTCTTGTGACACCGGTTGTTCGTGACGTCGAGTCGATGGATCTTGTCACTATTGAGAAGGCCATAGCTGACATGGGCAAGAAGGTACGGAGGCCCCACTTAATCATTGCAATACCACCAGAGCACTAACGATTTCCGTAACCATTCACAGGCACGCGATGGTAAGTTGACAATCGAAGATATGGCTGGTGGTACCTTTACCATCAGCAATGGCGGTGTATTTGGCTCGTTGATGGGAACACCTATCATCAATCTGCCACAAAGTGCAGTTTTAGGTCTTCACGCGATCAAGGACAGAGCAGTGGCCGTTAATGGGAAAGTTGAGATCCGACCAATGATGTATCTGGCATTGACTTACGATCACCGCTTGCTCGATGGCAGAGAGGCTGTGCAATTCCTTGTTAAAGTCAAGGAATACATCGAGGACCCGAGACGTATGCTTTTGTAGGCTCAACGCATGGCCCCTGGGATGAGTAGATAGATAGGAATTAATTGTGTAGACTGTAATATAGAACCGTGTAGAACCGTGTTTTCCTGCATTAAAACTTCTCACGTGTTAACGCTATTTTCTTTGCGTGAAAATGTAAATGCCTCCCCCCCGGGAACGAGGCTGAGTTTATTGCTAGTTGAGGTACATCAGGTGTTAATTACGCATGATACCAGGCTCAGGTGTATTAACTTTTTTTTTTTCGTTCTCGGGTCAGAGTAGTATAGGCGGCCCAGACCGTCTGCGCATCGTGACGCGTTGTATTTATTCACGATTTAATACTCGGTAAAAAAAAAAAAAAGCATTCAGTTATAAAAAAACTTTTTATCTACCACATGTTGTTTCTTACTACATCCTATATAAGAAAAAAAGGCAAATAAATAAATTAAATAAAATATCAGGCAAGAGATATAAAAAAAAATAAAAAAAAAAACTCCCCTTTCTGTTCTTTCTTTCTCTCTCTCTGACTTTTTTTTTTAAAAAAAAAAAATGCTAACTAAAAAAATGATTTTTAGTGGCGCAAAAAATAAATTTCCCCCCAGGGATTTGCCTCTAAAACCCACCTATAAATAAAAATCAACTAAAAAAAAAACTACTATTAGCGTAAAAAAGAAAAACAAAAAGAAATTTATAATATGAATCAATCATTTTTTTTTGTAAATTAATTGCAATTCACACCGATTAAACCTCAAGTGATTTTTTATTATTTTAGAATCAGTACGTAAAACGCCGACTCAACTGCCTAGAAGAATAAATGCTCATCTTTGTCATACTAAAAAACTAACTTTATCTAGAAGAAGTCTTGAATATATTAAACAAGTAATGTACGTGCAGTATTTACAACTAAGAAACAAGTAATGTACGTGCAGTATTTACAACTAAGAAATATTATTGGCCTGGCTTGCAAGCACATACTCATCGAAGAAGAAATCTTCGTTGCTGAGTTCGCCATGAGAATAATCCCACCTGACAGGAATAGCATGGCCATTGGCTGCAAAGCCGACATCCTCACCCTTCCATTCGCCAGCGCATATTCTTGCCGCAATCCTAAGCATAAGTGCAACGAGATGACTAGGAGGGCCAATCAATAAGTTGTAGGTCTTACTCACGATAGCTCGGGGAAGGCTGCCTAATGTACGCAATCTTCCTCTTACGGGATTGAATAGTTCCCTGTCGCTTTGCAACTCCACCAGCGGATTGGAATTTAGAGGGCCAGCCGTCTTCGGCAATATTCTTCTTCTGATTTCATTTGCCTGCATATCGAGCCTCGAGGGACTTGTTGAGCGCTCGATTTTAATGTCCTCCAGGTCCTCTGGATCCTTGTCATCAGAGGATGAGTTCGACGGTAACTGTGCTTCAGGCATTCGAGGTAATTGTTCGGCAGCGATATGTACGAGCAATACGTCGGAATCCAAGCTAGACGGAGCAGTGTAAAAGGAATCCAGCGATTCCTCACTAGAAATTGTTTCAGTGACTTCATTATCCTGGAACGGCTGATGCGGTGCCAGAGCATTCGGCGTCAATGTATGGCCGCCACGACAGCCCAGGAAATATCTAAGCTCAGGTCTTTGCAAATTATCTTGGCTTTCGAGGCCTTCATGTTTCTCGAGAAATACCGAAAATCCATCACTTCTCGCCACATCTTTCGGTTCTACCCGAGTTGGAAGGGAAGATGTAGCTATATCCCATTGTAACCTATGACGAGTGTCTGTGTCGTTTTGTCCCTGGGGTTGACGACCATCCAAATCGCTACCGGTAAGTAGATGTGGCGAGCTGTATTGAGGTTTGTACTCGTGTAGCCGCTGTGCGGCCTTGGAGACGGATGCCATCACCGTGTTCTCTGCACTAGTGCTCGGCTCACACAAGCTCGCTTCTGTCGATGGTTCACATGATTTGAAAGAAGTGGTGCGAGTGCTTTTAGCCTGTTCGTTGTTGGGCATAACGAGGGAACTCGTAGTATCGGAGAGCTTTGTTATTGGTTGTTCACATAAAGGGGTCGTAGAGTCATAATGGTGTTCAACAGCGGGCAGAGTAGATGATAATGCAGCGGCCTCACTATTTAAACACTTTCTCCGTGGCTCACAATTGTCGCAGTATGCCTTCTGGTTCCTTGCAGGCCTCCATGGCTTCAGTTTAACATCCGGTGTTTCGGGAAGTTCGACCGTAAACGTCCGGCGGAAAGGGCATATAGTCTTCTCGAATAAGAGGACTTTTTCCAGAGTATCTTTGAATTGCCGGGCCTTATTCATTTGCTCAATACTCGATACTGGCAGCTCAATCCGCCAATAGTAAGGACGCCGAATTTGCAGTATGAATTTGCAGTTTTGTTGATCAACGCGCCAGCATTGACTCTTAGGTAGGATAGGTTGAAGAGCAGATCCACAACTTAGAAAGGCAACCGAGCCGGGGGCGCGGTATACACAAAATGCGCCTATGGATCTGGTTAGCTGTATGCATGTTGCTCCGGGGATTTACAGCTCTTACCTACTGCGATGGTTCGCTCTAGAGGGGACCACCATGCTAAATTGCCAGCATCTCCTCCGTCCTCTGGTGTTCGAGCACTATCTCCCGCAGTATCTGATTGGCAATGAACTGAAGCAGTGAACGAAACAATTCTGGCTTCCGGGTGGCTATAGAGTGTTTCGACAACTGTCCTTGGCGCGGACGTCGCGACGCGTTCCGTTGGCATAATGGCTGGCTCGGTTACAACACGACGCATAGTGGCAATCGGTCGGAGTCGCATATCTGGCCTGGGGGAGAGGGAGTCCGTTTGTATCGCCTCCATTGGTGCTATAGTCATCTTGAAAAAGTTGCTCTTATGACGGGAATCCTCAGGTGTTCGTCATCGCAATTGTGCTGGCAACATAATTGGGCAACCCACGTTGCTGGCAAATTGTCCGTCGCCAAAGCACGGCCGTTGAGGCCTCGGTAGTCTTGAAAAGCCTAGTGAATCGTCATCAATTCGCTGCTTCTCGTCGCAATTGTCTGCATATACTTTACTTACAGTAGTATGTCGATCGCATCCGACAAATCTTCGTGATGGTGGCTCCAAAGCTGAGGTCGGTCGATTGTCTTTTTGAGTCAAGTACAATTTGGCTGGCGTAGTGACGTAGCTTGACGTACCTAGCACCTCCCTCCCCCCACGCGTCCACGTCAAGCCGCTGCTACGCACCGTGTGAATAAGACGGAGGTTATAGCGCCAACACCAGAATGGAGTAACTGCCGAGGTACTCCGGAGGTCGTATCTGGAATCTACTCATGCAACTTGACCTCGTCACATACGGACACAGCGGCCTCTACTACCGATCTTGGAGTTGTAAACAGCACTAAACCTGCCAATGGAGCCTCGAAAGGCAAAATTAATTGACAGCTTCAATCTTGATGCGTCGCATTTCGAACTCAATGCCATTTTCCGAGGGGCCCAGTTGACACTGGTTGGAGGTAAGGGCAAAGAGAGAAACGGCCAGGTCAGACTACTAACGCACTGCAAAGCCTACAGGGCATTGCAAAATCCGGATCTATTCACTGCCGAGTACTATAAGCAAGCCATATACGCCGTGTTAGCTGGACTCGGAATCCGGCTGCTGGTAGCAATTCCGGTTAGAGACTGTCAAGCAAAGCCACAGAGAGCCCGCCCCCTCAGCTAACACACAAGGCAGATAATAGCGGCGAGGCTTGTATTATGGTTCACCTCGCTGCTCTATCCCCGTGACCAAGTCTCATGGGAAGATTCTGTTACCGATTGGCTGAACTTCATGGGAGATTCTGTCCTTCAGCTCCCATTCTTCCTCATGATGGTAATGCGTCATGTAGTTCCCACTCTAGACAACCTGTGAGTAGCGCCTGCGCAAATAACTATGGCCTCAACACAATGGCTCAAGGTGAACAACTAGATTCATGCAGTCTTTAAACTGGGTTGACATAACTTATGTCCAAAAACATAAGCACGACAATCCGAGTGACCTAAGGGACCTTTATTATCCCAATCTAAAGTCTTATCAATCAGCGAAATCCCCAGCCAAAAGGAGGCAGTCATTCATAAAATTTATGTCGAAATTTGTACGCAGAGCAGGCCTTTCGATTGTGGTGCTCGCCTTATCATACACCCCGATATTTGGCCAACTGATACTCCCTTTAGTGAGTTTCTACACATTTCACAAGTCGGTCGGACTTGGGCCTGCTTCCATCATCTTTGGAAGCGGCCTCTTCTTGCCTCGAAGGTATCTCATCATCTTTTTACAGAGTTACTACTCGTCCCGGAACTTAATGAATGAACTTTTAGAGCCTTACTTCACGCGTGTCCAGTTTTCGCGAGAAGAAAAGCGGAACTGGTTCAGAAGCCGCGAAGGTGTCTTGTTTGGGTTTGGTCTTGGGTTTTATGTGCTCAGTAGAGTACCCCTGTTCGGAGTTTTGGTATATGGAATTGCAGAGGCCTCGACTGCATATCTTGTCACTAAGATCACCGATCCCCCGCCGCCGCCCTCTGACATAGGGGATTTCGCCAGGAGTCAGCAAACTTGGCGTAACAAACACGAGTTCCTTAGTCTTAACCTTTTAACCATGGACGACATGCAGACGGGACCAGCCCTTACACCTAGAGAAAAGCAGGACGCGCTGTCGCTCTGATGCCACGCCGCCTTGTATTAAGATTATGTCCCTTCATCGAAATATAGACTGCTCTACGTGTATGTAGGAGATCGCTGAAGCGATGTGCATGGGTACGCTCCAGGGAGCCACGCCATTGGGACATCTGTGGCATCAGAAATCAACTAAGAATATCTCAATTTATTGTTTAAAGTATTAGATGTTGCCATTGTTGTCCCAGAAACACTGAGCAACATTGAAAAGAAAAGCTTGCAAGCTCTTTCAGACTTTGCTGAGCGTTCCGTTTCAGGCAATGATCCAAAGCTTTACCGAGCCTGCGATGTAAGTTGCAGCATTGGAGATGCTGGCAACGAAATTAAGAGAGGATCACAGATTCAAGGTGGCGTGCACCAGTTCGCAGCGAGCTGGTGATTATCAAAAAGTGAATTTCGCTTTCGTGACTTGGTGGTGTTACATGTCGGGAATGACATCGAAGTCATTATGGCCAGTGTCGGTTCTATGTCGCTCGACTGAGGCTCCCTGGCCTAGAAAGGTACACCCTTCCCTCAAGCACCTGCGCAAAATACTGTCTTCTTCCGGATCCGCAATTTCTGTCAATTGGGTATGTCCTGTAGCCTCAGCATGTTTCCTGGCTGCTAGTTGTCCATTACCAATCCATTCACAGCCGTCCTCGTTGCACTTCAAGACCAGTCCATCAGTGTCCGTGTAGTAGTGATTTGCATTTAGTTCCTCGACTAGCATCTTGGCCTTTACCAGCACCTCAGAATCATCTGTGAGCCAGATCGACCTATCCATCTCTGGCGGCAAAGGAGCTACATTGTGAGGGAAATCAGAGTAGCTGAATACGACGCGGTCATAATGAATACCAGAATACACCAAAATGCATCGTTCTTGCTTTCGCTCGCCGAAGGTCATGAGATGCTGTCCCTGCGGGTGATTGAGTATTTCATTGCAGATAGCTCGATACTTGAAAGTAGGGCGAGAGAGGGATGTAAGCCTACCTGAACATCGAAAGTACATATCTGAATATCAAAGATGGTAGATAATATACTGAGTTCGATCCCCCCTCCCCACCGATCAGGGTCCTTGATGCCACGGCAATAGTCCACGGGCGAACAGCCCAGAATTGCTTCATTATAGACATCAGGATGCTCCGTAATATACTCAGCCATCATCTGACGGAGTTTTGCTGCAGACATCTGTTTCAGGAGAGCGCCACCAAATGCGGTAAAGAGACAGCTATTGTCACTTGGCATGACACGAAGCACTGAAGATAGTCAACATAGGATCAAACGCAAGCGACACTAGGGAGCCCGGAACGTACATAGGCTGCCTTCTCTTTCTGGCCATGGTACTATTACATCACCGGAGCTTGTATTGGCAGCGGGGGTGTTCCAGCTCGTTTCTCGTGACCGGAAAGACGGAGCATGGCCCGAGGTTGCCAAATCTGCCTTGAGCTCGATGGGAACGATTGTAAGAGTTTCGCCATGGAGCCCCAAGTCTTTGGCTATAAGCCCTCCATGTTCTAAGTTGATGGACTGCATATTGGTGGGAGGGCCGTACTTGATGGCAAAGTTTTCGATTCGTGTCTTTGCCTGAAGTGCCTCAAAAACCATCTGAATCGTGGCGCTGTCATCAATTTCGAGAATTCCAGTTCCCAAAGGACTTTTATATCTTGACCTCATTTCAAAAATTGCAGTAGGGGAAAAGATAGTAATACTGCCACTCTGAAAGCGTGCTGCTCTCTGAAAACGATCAACCTGTTACGGAAAACTTCGGTATAACTCTCGCTGACGAAGACAGCAAGGACCCTTAGCCCTGCAGGACCTGTTAAAAAGAAGAATTGCACGGTGATTCTCGTTGGAACGGTGGCCACAATTCTCTATACTGTATTCATATTATCAAAAGATATTCCCTGTCGTTTTATTGCATTGTTAACCAAGAAAATGATGTCTAGCCTGACCTAGGCACCCTCTGGTCTCCACTCAAATCGACAAATTGACCTCAGAACGGCTATTCCTTAGGTTGGATGAGTCAGCATGTCCCGTGAACGTGCCGCCTCACGCGCATTTCGCATTTGGGGCGCGTTTCCAGTCAAGTTTAGCTTCCTGCTTCGTCAATTTACTACCTGGCGCGGCGCAAACATCTGTGAGTGATCATTGCTTCTGATTGTTTCACGACCTAAGAACTGCGCGGTCACACCTGGCCGCGCCCCAAACCCTTGAACGAAGATGTCACTTGTGCGTGATCTCACCCCAGACGATGCAACTGGATCAATCGAAGTCAGGGAAGTAGAGCAAGATGTCGAGATGAAGGACAGCTCTAGTGGCGGGCATACGGATACAGAGGGCGACGCTACTGAAGATGGAGATCCGAATATGTTCCAGATCATACAGCAGCTGACGGCGCATCTGTCTACCGTTGAGGAAGAGTAAGCTGAGAAATTCAAGGTCCATGTTTGTATTTATGGTATTTTGCTAATGCGAGTGAATAGTGGTGAAGAGCTTGCAGCAGGCTTTCAACGTATTCCCAACCGTCGTACCCTCCCCGATTACTTCGAAGTGATCACTGATCCAATTGCGTTTAGCACAATTCGAGTAGGTCGATATTACTTTAGAAACACTTTTCTCGAAAATGGGTGCTGATGTGAACAACAGAGTAAAATTCAGAAAAAACAGTACTTGACTTTTGCGGAGTTTGTCAAAGACGTTGCACAGATCTGCCACAATGCTCAAGTATACAATCGTCCATCGGCGCCAATATTCGGAGCCGCGGTTCGCCTCCGAGAAATATTTCATGAACAGCTCCAAAAGCTAGTCGCAAAGGGAGACATAGCGCCTGATGATGCGAAACTGCCTGATCTAGGTGAGCTACCTCCCGTCGAAGACTCGCCATCACTTCCATCCGAAGATGAGGATGAAGAAGATGAGGATGAGTCTTCGGACGATGAGGATGAGTCTTCAGACGACGACGAGAGACAACGGAAGCGACGCAGAGCACGCAGTCGTGGTCGTCAATCCTTCGTCAGACCCAAGGAACCCGATGAAGATAAAGAGGATGACGCATATAAAAAGAGAGGCCGCCCGCCTATGGTGCAAACACCTACGGAAGCGCGTATCTCTTCAATCCTCCGATCTCTTAGAAAGTTCAAGGATGATGAAGGAAATCTTCTTGTGACACCTTTCGAAAAGTTGCCGGACAAGACGACCATGGCTGATTATTACCAAAGCATCAGCAATCCCATTGCTCTGGATAACATCAAGAAGAAAGCAAAACGAAAGAAGTATCGGCATGTGGATGACCTTCTATTGGACATTGAATTGATGTTCGAGAATGCGAAACTTTATAACGAAGATGATAGCCCCTTGTATCTTGCTGCCGTGGAATTGCAGACACAATCACGTATTCTTGCGGAGCAGGAAAAAGCCAAGCCAGACGATGATTTCAGGGATGAGGACGGCAAACTTCCCCTTTCTGAAATACAGCATAATGGACAGAGCTGGAAAGTCGGTAGGTTCATTCAACTTCACTCCAGCCGCTGACTAGATAACATAGACTGACCCAGGCCCCATCATAGGTGATTGGGTTCATATTCGGAATCCAAATGACCTTGCTAAGCCAATTGTTGCTCAAATATTTCGGACATGGCAAGACCGTGCGGGCCAAAAATGGATTAATGCCTGCTGGTATTATCGCCCTGAGCAGACTGTTCATCGATATGAAAAACACTTCTTCGAGCATGAGGTTGTGAAAACGGGCCAGTATCGAGATCACCAAATAAGCGAATTGTTGGACCGATGCTTTGTTATGTTCGTAACCCGCTTCAATAAAGGTCGCCCAAGAGGACTCCCTTCTGACAAAGACGTCTATGTGTGCGAGTCACGCTACAACGAAGAGAGGTTCCGTTTCAATAAAATTAAGACGTGGGCGAGTTGTGTGCCTGATGAAGTACGGGATAAGGATTATGAAATGGACTTGTTTGAGGTGCCACGCCGCATGAGAAAGGTGCCTAGTCCCATCAAGCATCTTCTTCGCGAGGACGCGAAGGATACCGACGATCTTCCTCGACCAACTTGGGGAAGCCCCAATGCTCCGCCCATCGTTGGTGCTGTTCATCGGCGCCCCCCTGAAGCAAATGTGAGTGGATAATGGTGGTCCATCCCACGACGCAATCACATTGCGCTCGGTTGGAGTAATAGATGGGTGCCTCGACCTCCATATCTTACCTACAAAGATTGAGGAATAAGAATCGGTCATAGCTAACTGATCCCGCTAGGAGTCTCCTCCTCCCGAGCCAACCCCCCCTCCGCCTCTTATGCCAACTGCAAGTCATATGTCATCTGAATCTGCCACGCGTCCCTCGGCAGCATCCGTAACACCGGAAATGTCTATGGACCCTACTGTGAGACTTCCGCAAGCTGCTGGTCCAGTTCCATCCCCATCCCAAGTCAACCAGTACAGCATGCAGGCTACAGGTCATTTTCAGCCAGTAACACCCGCCGGCGGTGGCCATGTTATGCAGCAAACACCAGTACCCATCCCACAACCACCGCAGGCCGCAGTGACTCCTCAGATGTCCATTCGACCAATGCAATATCAGCAGCAGCAACAGCAGCAACCAAACTACACGCATAATTTTGGGTCTTCATACTCTTCATCACCGGCAGCATTTACCCACCCACCACCAATGGCTAATCAAGCTGCGCTGCATTATAATCAACTCCAGCTTGGGCGAATGCCATTCAATGCATCTACTGGCAGTGGTAGCAATCCCACCAATGTTTACAACCCTCCACGACCACCCGAGGTATACACACTACCAGATAACATAAACGAGGCACTTCATCCCCAAATTCGGAAAGGCTTTCAACATGATAGTGCTGGCCGGGTCATGTTTTTTGTCGGTCCACCTATGGACCGAACGCGTGAGCGACTGTCTCCACAGAGTGTCGGACTTGGGCACAGCATTAAATACATCGCGGGACGTAGGAATTGGCTGGCAGAACGCGAGAAGAAGAGGCAAAAGCGTGATGAGTCACAGGCGGCTAGGCCTGAAAGCATCCTTGTTACAAGCCACTCCTTGGCGCAATCGGAAGAAGAAGAAGGTATCGCTTCTCAAGCGGCAGATGCCATCGACCAGTGGTTCCAAAGGTTCACCGAGCGAGGCCTCGAGTGGAAACAAGACGCCGGATTAGAAGGCTGGGGGGGTGGATGCAGAACATGATGAAGAATATGATTTGCTTTGCAGACACCTGGTAAGTGAGTGTCTGGCTGGCGGTCTGGGTTTTGGCTTCTCGATACGTGTAGTCTAGAGTTCTATTTTGTACCACACAATGTGGTGGGAAGGAAATGGAAGTAATATTTGGAATAATTGTCCTCCTTGATAATTGCGCCCCCTCCCTGGGGCCCCCGGGTTTCGACTTGATTTAGTGAAAATTCGCAGTGGGAAGTAGCATGTAAGCGAATAATTGTGGGATCCTACCAGTCACCATTTGACGTAACTCATCTGCTCGAAGCCAAAGCAATCCTGAAGTAAGAGTAGAGAGTCGAGTAGCCTAGATGGAATCACGGCTAGGTATGGCTATCTCTTCTGAGGCCACCTTGGTAGCTGCAGCTGCTGCCAATATGGAAGACGCCTATCTGAGATCAGAGTTTAGAGCACCCGCAACCTCTGGGAATGACGGCAGGGCGTTGGCGTAAACCAAAGCACTCTGGCTAAATGTGCCGCATGGGCCCAGTATCCCAGCATGCAGCACATTCTTGCGATATTGTGCCCACGCGACTGCCAGTCACTGTCGACAATCATACGTCGGGCCCCAACTAACCGAGTCACTATCCCGTCGTTTTATTCAAAAACCAACAAATGGTCGCATGTGGTCGAACCATGCCGTTCGCCTACGGAAGTCTCGTCGAGGCGGACAACTCTTTCTGTAGCAACACGGCAGGACGCAGGTGTATTCGCACTATCTCGAGGGGTTTTCAGCGTTCATCAACAGTCATACTGCTTCTATGTTCTATTCTTCTCGTTTTGTAATCTCTGCAAAACTCCACCATAACCCATTCATACACAGCCCACTGTACTGCATTGACGACGAAGGCACGAATGCTGCAAACAGTTAAGCCGCGGAAGAATATAGGCAGCCCTCCTTCCCTAGCCATAGTTCTAACAACATCTAGCGAGCCAAGCCGTTTCGTCGACTGGAAGCCCTCCGAATCAGGGCGGTTTTTGATTGAAGCAGCTTGGGGATGTACGATTGATTGCTGAGTCTGGACTCGGGTTTTGATTGAATCCAGGGGGAATACACTTGCCCAGGTGACGATTCCTGCAAGTCCCCCGCATAGCAGGATCTTAGGGGCCTCCTGGCGTAGGGATGGAGTTTCAGTTTGGATGCTGGAGGGCCAATGCCTATTCGCTAGTTCATAGGACCAGAAGTAGAACCCGTATCCTATACTGTCTCTAAGTGCCGTAACCACACCGCCCAGGTAGAAACCGTGAAGCCCTTCCCTCTTCCATACGTTGCGTGCAATGCTCCAGCTGCTCTCAGATGATGCTGACATCTGAGCACGACATTTGACAAGTTCGGTTGGAGCACTCACTACCCAGGTAGCAAGCCCACCTACTGCTCCTGCAAACCATGTCGCGCATAGGCTCTTGTCTGAGCCTGAACCGATGGCTTTTTGAAGAATACTTTCGGAACGATTGTAGGATACGAAGAGCAGGGCATTTAGCGCACCATATCCAATAACTGGAGCCGCTATCCCCGTCACCAGAGCCGTGGTACCCTGGAGCCTCGTGCCATTGACGAGAGTATTACCAGCTTGTAGTTGAACTTTGATGATATCGAGTGGGTTGCCAACTAGGATGCCGACTGCCCCGCTTAGGTAGCCGGCCCAAAAGTCGGTAGACATTTGAAATCTGGCAGTGAAGGATGATGTTAGAGAGAGCTGAGATGCGGCGGGCGCCTGGAGCCGCCAGATACATGCCAAGCAGTAGTCGATGTAATTGCGTTCAGCACAGAGGCTGATCTTCTAATTAGAGGTGACAGGGGTGGATTCCTTGCTTTCTGACCGTCGAAAGTGTGGCGAGATATAAATAATCTCGAAATGTTTTCAGTCTCCGAGGTCTGAACACCCCGTGCTCGCGATGCCGATGTTTGTAGGATCATTAGTTGGAATTTTTTAATATTATCGAGTATGTCGCGAGGCAGGAGTTCTTTATAGAGTGTCTCAAGACGAAAAAAAGAAAAAAAGAAAAGAGAAAAAGAGGGAGAAAACGAGACCATTGACACTTTTGGAATCCTTGGCCGAGTGTCAGCGTGATGAAGTGAAGATCTGGCTTAGGAGGGGTGCCTCTGATTCGCCTGCGAGGAACACTCGAGCCGAGGTAGAATGAATCAATGCCCCGCCCTTTACCAGCACGGAATACCAATAACACAATCATCTTTCATTAAGCTGAGAAAGTAATGCACGTTTCCCGTAAACTCTACAGTAACTATATTCCAAATGCATGAAGTTGCACACACAGATCATATTTGTTTCTCTATTCTACTAGGTCTCATCACTGACATCAGCTGGCATCAACGCCTTGTTTCCTTCGAACTCTGAATGTGGACACAAGGTCTATTTAGAACCATGGCTACTCAACTGACTCCCCTCCCAGCTGTTGAACGGCTCAGTCCTCTATGTATTCGCATTCTCGGGGGGAACCCTGGTAAATTCACACTCCAGGGGACGAATACATATCTACTCGGGCGTGGCGCCCGTCGTATTCTGATTGACACAGGAGAAGGTCGACCAGCTTGGATAGCCTCTCTCAAGTCAACCCTGGCCGAGGAGAGGGCGACAGTAGATACGGTACTCATATCTCATTGGCATCACGACCACACTGGCGGCATTGCTGATGTCCTTTCAACAGCCCCAGGTGCGGCTATTTACAAGCATGACCCCGAACTGGGGCACAAAGGAATTGTGGACGGCCAAAAATTTCACGTCGATGGCGTCAGCTTAACCGCCATTCACACACCGGGTCATACCAAGGACCATATGGTCTTTGTGCTGGCTGAGGAGGACGCCATGTTTACAGCCGATAATGTGCTTGGGCAAGGTACCGCTGTGTTTGAGGATATGTCGGAGTATTTGCGCAGCCTTCACCAAATGCGACAATTGTTCTCCGGAAGGGCGTATCCTGGCCATGGCCCGGTCGTGGAGGACGGCCCAGGCAAAATTACCGAGTATATTGAGCACCGGCAACAGAGAGTGGACCAGGTTCTGCAAACCATGCGGGGGGGTAATGATGGAATAGATGCCAATGGCACGAGATGGTCTGCCATGGATCTTGTCAAAATCATCTATAGTGACGTTCCTGATGCACTCCACCAAGCGGCATGTAACGGCGTTTTGCAAATTCTTGAAAAGCTCGCCAGCGACGGCATAGTCATTAAACATGGCCGCGACTTGTGGCAGGTGAACCGAGAAAAGTCAACACTTTGACAAGTTCTAATTGGGGTTAAAGATGGTGGTGTCATTTTATAAGGTGTCGTCGGAATACATGAAGCGGACTGGGGTGTATCGCCATGGGGTATCGAGACTACTTGCTCAATATATGTATAATTATTCAGATTGCTGACATTGGGTAGCCAGTGCTTTCATATTTCAGTGGTTGGGAAGTGTTTGCAACGGTATCCTACTTTGCCATGTGCTTCAAGACCCAAGTTTCGGGCTTGCAGTATGTATTGTCCGCTGAAATAGTCACGCCGGCAGGAAGGGCCGTTCCGTACTTGGGAATAATGTGGCTGGTGAACTCGAAGTTCGGTAATCAATAATATGTACTTGAGTATGCATAATACCTGCCTACCTAGGTACCTAAGTAGGTAGCCATTCATCGTGCGTCTTTGTCGAGCTCTACCGGTCTTGTCCTCCCCCCCTGCCCCCTAAAAAGAGGGCAGAACAGCAAAACAAGCACTAGATTTAAGTATAAATACCTAGTTGGATGACGTCAGAAGGTATGTGGAATTAGCTGCCCACTACCTACCTTCAAGCACCTAGAGTAGGGTAGAGACTTTTGAAATATGACGCTGGTGTGTTGACGTGTGGCGGAATCGTCGGGACTTGGGGTCTACTTCTTGACACTGGCTAGTGCTGGGGCCATCAGTCACCTGCTGAGGGACCCTGTCTGATGAAGGTTCAATGTTCCGATGTCAGATGCCGTCAACCAAAGTACGACCCGTCAGCGACTAAGTGGATGAGCCACTTGTAGTAGTCTCCAGCGGGTAGAGCATTTGGGGTCTGGTCTGAAGGTTGTAAGCGCCACCGAGGCTGGCAGGTGCGGCAGGTGGTGAATACCCTGAACCAAAGGTGTGTGTGGCTGAAAGCTAGAATGCAATGCCAACGCGTCCACGAACTGTACCTAACGTGAGCATGAGGTCTCGGTAGGTTTTGACTCTATTCGCGTCATATTCATAAGGCTCTCGCGGTGGCTTCAAATATTGGAAGCTACCTGCTTAGGTACTTGGATATGTTCTCAAATCTCACCCAACCACACGAGGTGCATGCACCTGCCTGTGAAAATGATTGGTGATGCCTATCCCGTACCTTCGCACTGTAGTTGACACTAAAGTGACAACTCGGTGAAGACTGCGGAGCAAAGAGCGATGGACACCGGGTTGCACGGATGCACGTTATCAAAGCAAATGGTAAAAGCAACGTAATGTTCGGTCATGTGTATGAGGGGATTGGCTGCCGCGCCACCTGAAGTGCCGCTCACAGAACGACATCTGGACCCTGATTGCCTGATCATGGGCGACACACACACACTGGTAAGGCAGCTAGCGTCCGCCCACCCATCCGAACAACCTTGAGCATTTGGGCTGAGTTAAACTCCAAGTGTATAGAGTCTGGGGAGATCCATGGCTGCACATGCGTTCACTTGGTCAGGTGCTGTCAGGTGCTGTCAGGTGCTGTCGGGTGTTGTCATAGCTGGCAGGAGCCGTGCCACCGGAAGCCCGGCTGTCCCCACTGCAGTATCCTAAAACCCTACTATGCCTGGTCTCCTGCATACAATAAATACATACATCGAGTACCTCACTACTCCGTAGAGCTCCGCTGACCGCAAGTTGCATTATGACAGGAGTCAAGCTCGGAAGCTTCGGAGGAAGCGGGTGCGCTTCTTTTTTTCTTTCTCATCCTAATGATCCAACCCCCCTGCTGCTTGCTAAGCGATGTGTGATTGATCGTAGTGCTTCGTTATTGTAACCAACTTCGGTTCGGCGCCCACGGGAGTGAAGCCTACCTACCGTCAATGACGTTGTTTTGCTGGCGTATAAGTCGCAAGGCTACCCAAACCAGTGACCACTTCGTTTCATTTCCACCCAACCAATCTGCCAGTCACCGTTCCTGCCATGCTCTTTCGTAGGGATTCGTGTTGATGTTGTGAACTGCCGTCCTCTGGGATTCTTTACTGCTCTTAATCTCTGATACGCTTGGCACAAAAATTTCCCCAGCCTTGGCGGCTACGGCCGAATAAACGGTTCAAATATTCCTCATACGTCTAAACACGACGCCTGAGCCATCGTCTCGAATTAGTTGCCGGTGTTGCACCCGGAATAACCTCGCCAAATGTCGCTACCCGCTGCTTCTTATTTTGCCTCCACAGGCCGTCTTGTGGCTAATGTTCTTCTCCTTGTCGGAATAGTTCATGCCCACGTAGAAATGAAACCCGAACACGGTGGGAATCATACCATGGCAGTGCATGGATCCGATTATCCTCCAACATACTTTGGAACTTCCAATAGCCGGGGTCTGATCTATGGTCACATCTCATTAATGGTGATAGGCTGGGTGTTCGTTTTGCCCGTTGGTGAGTACATATTTGAAAACGCCCTTTCACTCCCTGGAGTTGCCTGGGACTGGGACAGAAGGCCGAGACACGAGTTTCCCCGTCCTGCAGAGCCTCCTGAAATTCTCAGTGCTAATTCTCGTGCAATCACTTAGCCGTCATGCTCTCCATCGCGCATTCTCAGGTAGCTCTGGCGGTACAGTTTGCCTTTCTTGCCGTTAATGCCTTTGGCGTCTCGTTGGGCGTCATGTACAACTCCCAGACTCAAGATTTGTACCCAAACAATGCCCATCACAAAATTGGCTGGATTATTACGGCCGTCATGTTTGCGCAGGTCTTGATACACTTGGTCGGGCGACAAGTAGGTGCTATGGCGGGACGAAGATGCCGTAGTTCAGGTGGACGCAGTTCTGTTTCTCACACGAATTACTGGCAACGGGTACTTATGCAGTACCAGGATGGAGAAAATCGCTTGTCAAACGATAGTGGCCAAGGGACGGAACCTGGAACAGAGTCGCTCCGAAGCAATTCTGTTTCGACGTTGGACGGGGAAGACATGTCCTTAAACGACCAACGAAAGGATTTCGAGGGCAGTGAGGCTGAAGAGGATTCCCTTGAATCCGCCGAGATGCCATTCTTGTCGCAGAACTCAATACCAGGAAAAACAATACGTGCCATCTCATCACGTATATGGGTATATCTTGATTTCGTGTACAGAGTTACAGATCGGATAATTCTGCCATTTGGGTTTATCGCGCTGACTACGGGCATCATAACCTTTGGGCGCTTTTTCGTGAGTATACCCCTGGGTTTGCCACCTTGGCCTTCGAAGAAGCTCCAATCTAATGCACTGTGCGCAACATAGGAAGGAAATGCGGTATTCAGTGGATTGGCACACTGGATCAAGGGAGGAGTGTTCTTTTGGCTTGGTCTATTTTCTTTGGGCCGCTGGTCGGGAAGTTTCGCGGACGTGGGTTGGGCGTGGAATCTCAGACCCATCAATTTTCACGAGAAACGCTGGTGTCCATCGGCAGAGTTCGTTGAGAGTGCCCTGATTTTCTTTTACGGATCTACAAACATCTTTTTAGAGCACTTGGGAAATTGGGGTGGCGAATGGAGCTCCCAAGATCTGGAGCATTTGGCTATTACTGTGCTCTTCTTAGGAGGAGGAATGGTAAGTCTGGTGTGAAGCTTTCCACTTGCCTCAAACGACTGTGCCGCCTCAAACACACACGGCTGCTGGTTCCGGATTCCTGCAAGTGCTTTACCTCCCTCGAGGCTGTGTGACTAACGATGTAATAGTGCGGTATGCTTATCGAGTCGTCTACTATCAGGAGTCTCCTGAATACAACCGCAGCAGATACAGCCCCGGAAAATGTACCAGACGAAGAAGCCATGAAGAAATGGAAATCCCCTGATACATACCAATTTTCCCTCAACCCCATACCGGCACTCGTCATTCTGCTACTTGGTATCATGATGAGCTCTCATCACCAAGAAACCGAGATATCGACAATGGTACATAAACAATGGGGCGATTTGTTATTGGGGGCTTCGTTCGCCAGGGTATTGACCTACTTTCTTTTGTTCCTCCGACCGCCCAAGTCTGTCCTGCCGTCTCGCCCACCTACGGAGCTATTGACGTCCTTTGGCCTCATCGCGGGCGGAATTATTTTCATGGCTAGTGTAAGTAAATGCTGCTAATAAACGAAAATACTGCAAATCATGGAAAGCTGACCAACCGGGTTCAGAGCTCGGACACTATCGATGGCATGATTCACTATCATTTGGATGCCATGTTCATGTATACAATCACAATGGGACTGGTAGGATTGTTAATGGCCTGGGAGATTTTCGTACTAGCCATTAAAGGTTGGGCAACACATAGGGAGCAGCGCGCAGGTGTGCAAGGTACGCAGAAAACAGCACTTTGTGGGTAATCACCCAGGAGATCTGCGCCTCATAAGCTTGTTGCTCGCAAGGGATATGTAGAGTTGTCAGTATCTCTTGGCATTGTTGGAACACATCTGGGATATATTACTATATGGGTCCTGGATCCGTGTTGGAGTATTCATTCTGGGTCACGGGCTGTATTGACGCTGACTTTGTGGAATGTTATTATGATACCCATTCTGAGTTGCAGGCCATCTTACTGGTGGTTTCCTGTTGATGAATAGCGCGGTATGATTTTGGGTGTGCAGATAGAAACCATTTACTGTAATATGGAGAGAGTCAATATCTATCGTCAATGTTGCCAGTATTTTCAGTGATGTACTTCGCATTCCCGTGACAGAATTACGTCTCCTGCCAACATATGTCATTCATTGTCCCATGACGGTTTCTTGATTCAATATCACACTGACGTGATTGGATCGGAATGATTAACTGCTGGGCTAATAAATAGCATGTACAACAATAAAACCGGCTTCCCTCACGAAAACGTCCATCCTGCGGCATGTGAGGTTGATTCATGGCCAGGTAGAGCAATCCAGCTAAGTGACCCAACAGTTGGGCTGATGAGAAACAGGGACACAGTGCCTGGTGGTTGTTGCAGGCGAATAAATATCAACGACGGGCCGTGTCAATTGTTTGAGGTTTGTTGGGAATGATTTCCAGGTACCGTAACACTCCGGTCCTCAGTCAGAAACTGCGAAGCACCCTGTCGGAGGGCATGAACCAAAAAAGACACAGATTCGGGCTTAAAGTCGTCTGCAGCTCTCAATTTGTCAATGTCGTCTGATAATTCTTGTGTGAGCTGTTGTAGATAATAAGCCGAGAAATTCGACATATTTTGCTGGTGTGCTTCCTGGCCTGCCATTGTGTTTGAATCTTCATGGACTGCCCGTACTGGATAGCGAACTTCTTGGTTGGATTTGGTTGACGTGGCGTAGTATTGGATATTCTCTCCGCATAATACGGACGCACTTCAGGAATCAGGTGGTCAGGGAAGTGAGTACACTCAAGAAAACGATGCAAGCCTGCTGCAGTACGATGATCGCCTTTCGCTGTCTATGCTCCGAACCAAGTGCGATGATGGCTTGCTCCGATATGCCGAATGTGCTAATATATGGCGATGCACATGCCTTGAAGTTGCCAGTCATAAGACAGCTCACCCAAAGAGACTGGCCACAGAAAGTTTGCTCAAAGTGCAGAGTTCGCGTCTGTGGGTCGGGCCACGTGCCCCGTACTACGATAATATCATGCCAATACGTTTGTGGCACCCAGGGTCCCGTCCAGACGATCTATGACACAATACAGCCCCATCATGAATGTTCATTAGTATTATAGTAATTACTGTCGACTGGCTAGTGTGATATATACTGGAAAACCGCTGAAACTTGCCCCAGACCATGTTCCTGCCTCAAAAGCAGATCTTGAATGGACTGTAGACATGTATTGACAAAGTGATTCCAGGTGCTTGTGTCTCCGTACAGGGTTGCTGGAGCCTTTACGTGCTGCTTGCCATTTGGCTTGCATCTCTTGCATTTAAACGTGTCATGCGTGTCGCTTGTGGTATTTGGGCGATACTGGAATAGCTCTCGGAGACTGTCAAGGGAGAAATGCCTTTCAACATCTTCCGCCGAGTCAACAACACAAGATGACAAACTTTGCTTGTGCGATTGACGTTGAAAGATCTTCTCCTCTATCGTACCAGTTGCAATGAAACGATAAACGAAGCAGTCTTTCTTCTGGCCATCACGCCAGACTCGGGCTAATGCTTGCTGGTCGGCGGCAGGGTTCCAATCGGGATCAAAAAGTACCAAGCGGTTTGCTCCAATTAGGTTGATGCCGCATCCACCCGCCTTGCTGCTGAGCAAGAAGACAACCTCTTCGCCATTCGGGTCGTTGAAGCGATCCACAAGTTTTTGGCGCTTGTTCACGTTCATCGTGCCATCTAGTCGAAGACAACCATACTCTCGAGACCGGCATAGGCGCTCAAATAGATCTAATGTTGATGTATAGTTACTAATGAGCACAATTTTGTCGTTGGTATCTTGACGTATCCGAGCCAGCATTCGATCTAGCACCATCATCTTCCCCGAGTACTCAGGTCTTACGTCACGGTCTCGACCACGAGCCTCTTTCGGTATGTATTCTGGAGGGAAACAGCATTCAGACCCAGGCAGATCGTCACTCAGATTAAGCAAATCCGGGTGATTGCATAGCTTCTTCAAGATATTGATGGCTTTCAGTGGCTGGCTTCCTTTCCCTCGGAGCAACGCTTGGATGTCCGGACTAGTGATGAAGTAATTGTACAGGCTTTCCTGAAATGGAGAGACACTGCAAAACACCACGTGTTCGTACTTGACGGGTAAATACTTTGACAGTATATCGTTGGTCCTGCGGATAAGGAATTTGTTCACTATTCCGAGAAGCTCTGCTGTGCACACATCTCCACGCTGGCGATCTGATTCGGAAGCATCCGCATCTCGCCCACGTAGAATTGGAATTTCAAATCGTTTTCGGAATTCTAAACGTGATCCCAGCAAGTCTGGATTAGCAAAGCTTGTAAGGGAGAAGTACTCCGTGAGATCATTCTGAATCGGCGTTCCGGTGAGAATAACCCTTCGAGAAACGTCAAGGCTGTTCAGTGCATTGAAAGTGTTACTGTCGCTATTTTTGAGTCGGTGACCCTCGTCGCAAAAGAGCAAACCAATTTTGGTGTGCTTCAACTGCTCAACATTGAGCCTGAGGGTTTCGTATGACACAATTATAACTGGCCTGGTAACTGATCGACCAGATGCAATGGCCCATTGTCGGAGTTGTCTTGTTAATTCTTCCTTTGAAGCTTTTCCGTCGATAGCAAACGGCGTGATGGCATTAGCACCAAGCCATTTGGTCAGCTCATTCGCCCAATTTTTGACCAAACTTGCTGGACAAACAACGATTGCCTTTTGAATTGTCGGCTTTCCCGCTTCAGGCGACTGTTTAAGTAAAGTCCACATAAGAGTTATGCATTGCAGTGTCTTCCCCAATCCCATTTCATCGGCCATAATGCAGCCGTTCGCCTTCTCTTCAATCATTCCAGTAACACAGCGATACATGAACTTGACGCCTTCAACTTGATGCGGACGAAGAATCTTTGCGAGCTTTGGATCTAAAACAACAGGTACCTGAGGCTGTTCTTTGGTCACTTTCTTTCTGATGCCCAGAATTTCTGCTAAGCTTTTATGGACTAGTGGGGCATCCAATTGCGGCTTCTGAATGTCATTTGCTGTAGTATTCAGCTTCTCGGACTCCTGACTGTTGTCGGGTTTTCCATCAACCGTAGGATCATATAATACGATCGCGAACTCGCCACTTGGATCATGCAACGGCCTCGGAGAAACCACAGCGCCTTGCCTTAAGCCCAAAGTGGGAGGCGGTCTGTTTGGGTTGTATGAAGCGGTACTCTTATCCTTGAGGGGCACAGAAAATGCCTTGCGAAAGACAAGGTGCTTCTCTTTCGCTCTGTAGACGGGGTATTTATTGACATCCCGTGTTGCGAGAGCTAAACGATCATTGTTGGTGTAGGACTTGTCTTCCGAGGAATCACCATCTGTACCAGAATAGTCTACCCTCCTCCGTTTCCGTGATGATCTGTCCGACGAAGAAGTCCTTGGACAAGCTGCGCCGGGACATTTGAATGGTTGGTATAGTTTGCCAAGAGCACTCGAGGTGGAATGGTAACGCGTTGTGGGAATGCTTTGGTCTTTCTGGCCAGAAGGGGTGGATGCTCTAAATGACTTTGTTAATTGAAAACCTCGATTCACGCATGTCAGAGAGATAGATTGCTTACGTTGGCGCCATTTCTGGTTTATATGCTTCAATAAACGGCATCGGAAATCATGAGAGTGAGACGGAGCGGAACTGGCTACGACCGCGTTCGACGCGTTTGCCTGGTCACGACAGCACGTGACCGGAGCCCTTATCCCTTAGTATTCTCCGCCTTCCTCACATTGCACAGAGTCATTCTAGGTGATAGTATGCAACGTAAAATGAAATTGGCATGTGCGGAAAAACAGGTCTATTGATGCCAAAGAATCCCAAGCTACCCAGCCTTCGTGCTCGTACGTTTCGGCTTCATATGTAGTTCTTTCCGTCTATAACTGGCTGCCCCCAGTCCAGCGTGGGCTACTTATCGGCCGCCTATCTTTATCGATTGCAGGTCAGCGTTCCCAGCGGTTCACCATTAGCGACCTTCCTATGACATTCCATTCCCCCAGCAAGCCACACCCTTCGGTTTGAAGCCTCAGAGTGCAAAGGCATATTCGAATATAAGATATTATAGGTTGAACTCAGACTATTCGGCGAACGAAGCGGCCGTCTCTATTTCCCCTCAATACGTCGGCCGCCGGTGCACTCGTTGTTTGATGTCAAGCTTGGAACTCCGCCATAAATTCACTACAACGAGCGAACAACGAGCTCATGTTGTTCCTAGGTGAGATGACTTTCCCACCCAAAAACTTCCCACTTGAGCTAACAAGTCTAGCCCAGAGATTCTCGTTGAAGAACTCGTTTCTGCGAACCTGGACTATTGCCACGACATCTTGCCAACGATCACGAGTGGCTATTCGGAACAATCCAGTGCGAGACTACCATCTGAGCAAGTTGCAACCTACCTTTTGACCAGCCGCTATAAAATACTCCTTGATACACCGTATTCAAGATGTCTACGCGTCCTACGACACCGGCCTCTCCGAAGAATGCCAAAGTCAAGTCACCTGTTCCTGGAATACCAATGTTTGGGTGTGGTATGGAAATACGCTATGGATTGAATATGCAATCATTGGGTGACATGCTCTAACGGGAATATAGAACATGTACAACGTCTATTGTCCCAGGGTCAAGAAGTCATGAATAGCTCCATTGCACATTACAAAATGATCCTCCGTGGTATCTTCGACTCTACCCCGATTGTCCCTCAAACATCAACGAACCAGGAAGGTCGACCAATCACATCATTGACATCGAACTATCTCTGCCTCCAGTGTCCAACTACTGTCACTGAAGAAGACCGTCTTAGACATGGAACAAAAAAATCTCACAGGTTCTGTAAGTTCGAAGTCGAAGAATCCTGGCGACTGCTTGGCTGACTGACTTGGTATTAGATGTGGACTCTCGAAGCGGATCTCTGTATTGCCAAATATGTGATGACCTCGTGTGGGACCCAACGTTAGAAGAACTTCGCGTGCGGAAGATTGGGACAGGTTCATTCTCAGGTCAGCCTTCCTATTCAAGCTCATGATCACTGGTCTTTCGTTGGATACTGACCCTGGCATATTGTAAAGGACGAAAGAGAAAGCACGACGAACTTTTTACTGATTCTATTAAGGACGATCCCCGCTATATTAGTTCTAACACAACAACAGCGTCTTGTCGAGCCAATGGCCTACGAGGCATTTATAATGCAGGTGCCACCTGCTATCAAAATGTTGTTCTTCAAAGCTTTCTGCATAACCCACTTTTGCGAAATTTTTATCTTAGTGATGGGCACCAGAGCAATGACTGTACTGTTTCACACTGCTTAAGCTGCGCTATGGATGACATGTTTCAAGACTTTTACGCTCTGGAGAATACCAACGGGTACACTGCCGCAAACATACTATCAGGCTTCTGGATATCAGAGAAAAAGGCATTTGAAAATCTTGTCACTACGAGGGAGCAAGATGCTCATGAGTTTTTCCAGTTTCTGGCAGAGGAACTTCATGAGCGCAATGGTGACGGAAAGAGGCCAGAGATTGGCTCCGAGCATAGCTGCAACTGTATCATCCATCAAACATTTTATGGTAAGATGCAGACGACAACAACTTGCCAGAACTGCAAAGGCACCACAAACACAGTACAGTCCTTCTTAGATCTCAGCTTGGGCCTGGACACTTTGATGCAGCGAAAGGCCAAGAAAACTGGGCAAAAAGCACCAGTTTTGACATTGAATGATTGTCTGGATGAGGAATATGTCAAATTTGACAAATGCGAGTATAGGTGTCACAGCTGCTCATCCACTCAACAAGCGAAGAGATATACAAGCATCAAACGACTACCGAATGTCCTTTCGGTACAGCTAAAGGTTACAACTTCATTCCGGGACTCAGTGCTTAGTTCATGGCTAATACGTCTTTTCAGCGTTTTGAATACAAGCAAGGCAGACATGATCGAGCCGCATCCAAGATCGACTACACGGTTCAGTTTCCGTTGCAACTGAGCATGCTGCCTTATACGAACAGAGTTCGCAGCCGGGACAACCGTGAAAGCCTGGAGCTGGAGAGATCATGTATGTATGATCTCTTGAGTGTTATAGTGCACGTCGGAGAAATCGAGACTGGTCATTATGTATCGTACTGTCGTGTCGGCGATCAGGTAAGATCATCATTCTCAATCTGTAAATCCACTCGAAAGCGTCTAAAGCTGATGAGTTTGCTATGCACAGTGGTTCAAATTCAATGATCATAAAGTGGAGCTGGCTACAATTTCTGAAGTTTTGGGGGCTCAGGCTTATTTGCTGTTTTATATCATCCGTTCCTTAGCCTGAGGGATATGGAAATTATTGTGTATTTTGGTTTTATAGACCGCGAAGGGCAAAGCGCCTATGTAAACTAACTCGAGATCCCTTGAATAATGCCCCCCGCGGCAGGGTGTTGGAGGTTTGGGGTATAATACCCCATTGATCTTCGCACGCCTTTCGTGTGCAATAAGACATGTCCAGATCCGATAATGTCTAGTAGTACCGTTTCTCATTTCAATATCACCTAACCCTTCATCTGATTTGATTCGAAAAGATAGATAGATACAGAAAGCAGAGTGAAACTCCTGGGTGCTTTTGGACGATAGGTGGCGTGTCAAAGAGTTCAGGGCTTCCAAACCCATGACGAACATTCGAAATTTGCATAACAGTAGAATTCATTGCTTAAGCCTCTGGCGTGCCTCGGCTCATAAGTCGTGGCGAGTACGCCTAGGGGTCGATAAACACGGGTCACTAGGTCCTTCATTCGTTCTCCGGTACAAACGATGACTCTTGGCTTTGGGGAGCTGGATTCGGAAGCCTTCAGAAGCCATCGGGTAGTAAGAGCAGCTGTGAAAGGTAGTATGTACGATTAGAAGAAGGAGATATGTCAAAGTGAAAGAAGGAACGTAGATTCAAAGGACCCAACAGCTCCATACACACCTTTTGTCTGGCAATCTTCACTGAGAAATGGTGGGTCACATATGATACAGTCTAGGCTTCCCTTCAACTCATCTACCTGGCATATCAGCTTTGTTATCCAGAAATAAGTGTACATGCGTTTTCAACTGGGAAGACCGGAATCTTGAACCACACACACACATATATATACACACATACACACAAAGGGCTAGATTGACTTTGAATCATTCAAATGATTACTTTTGAGACTTACTGGGAAGCTTCAGAGGTTGCTGGAAGTCGTAGTAGACAAATTCGGAAAACACCCCAAAACGAGGATCATGCTCTAAGAGAACGATCTTTGGACGATCACTCGCCGGGAGTTTTCGCTACTTGAATGAATACCCACAGCCAGGGCAAGGCCATGGCAAGTTGGGTGAGATGATAAGCTATTCTGTTTCTCCAGATCTGCCTGACGAGGCATGACGAGAGCAAGAGGGGAATACTCACTAATATATTGCGAAGTGCTACAAATACGCTTGGTGCCGATACAACACCAATGCGTGTCTTCGGGTTAGATGCTTCCAGTAGTTCATTGGCTAACACTTCAGCTGTTTCTTCGGAGTACTATAGCTCATTGTGGCCCAAGCCAAGAGTTAGCAATGGCCCCATGGCGTATGTATACAACAAACATTACTGATTTTGGCCAGTTTGCTCCCAAGTACGACTTGAGTGGCAATAATGAACTTCCGCCAGAAACGTACCCAAAATTGTGATTCATTCCAGTCTTCTGTGAAGGCCGTCATAGAGAGCTGTGCGTCGTCTTCAGCCTGAGCTTTCAATCCTTCGAATTTGGACTGATGGGCATCTCTTTCGGCGTTAAATTCGGCCAAGGCTGCAAGAGCATGGGCAGAGAGAGTTCTGAGCCAAGTAAATTTTGTTACTTTGGTGACGACAAACATTCGATTGATAAAATGCTCACATTGGCTCATCGTTATCTTCCATGCTGAGTGTAAGTAGGAGTCAATATATTCGCATGTACTCCGACAGTGAAAGATATTAATCTGGATTTATCAGGACTTCGCACCATGAGTGTAGGCAAATAAGAGTGTGGGTGCATGTGGTTTAACTCCACCGTTTTGTGGGGGTGGTACAGAGTACACCATAGTAGTAGGTAAGCACTCCATAGTTGCGCATAACCTGGACCAGTTGACATTGCCAGTGACTTAACGCCCTGGAGTATGAGCCCAATAATTTGAGGGCCTATGAAGAAAAGCGCACAGCAGCACGGCGAGGGTGAAAACAAAGGGTATCAAAACATCGCCTTTGGCACCTTGTGTATAACATCTTGCACGCGATTGTGATCCGACATGGTTTCGAAGCTTTCCCAACGCCACAAGAACCACTACAATATTACTGCGGTCGTCATGACTAATGTGTCCTGGCAAGCCTATAATTGCTTTCGATAATCACACAAAGGCCATACAGCAAACGGGGAAGCTCTAACAACGACAAATGAAGAAAAAAAGAAAGAAAACTGTACAACAAGATGCGACACACTGACCCAGCTGGGGCTGTCTTATATACATGTCTTTCCCATGGGTATTGTATTGCTAGAACCTCAAATTTTAACGGAGACTCCAAAGAAGTCTCTGGCATGTTTTCCAAGGTTTCCCGATTGCGGACTTGCAATGTTGAACTACAACTCATCCAGCACATGAATATACTTCTTGTCCTCTCGTTTCTCCTTTTCTGTTGCGGGGGGCAAGTCGTAGTAGTTCTGGCTTCTGAATCCTTGCTAGAGTGATGTTAGCTATCGAATGCAGAACGTTGCACACGTCATGAAGGACCAACCAGGTAGTGATATGTGAAGTTTGCAATATCTCCAGGTTCGATACCAAGATCCTTAAAAGTCTTGGCCGTGGGGTCGATAACTTGGTCCATAAACTCGCGCTCAACCTCATCTGCCGACATTGTGTGCCACCAAAGTGCTTTGTTCAACACCCCAGCAATTGGCTTGAGGATGCGTTTGGGAACATTGATATGCCGTCTCTGTTTATAGATTTCTTTATCCACCATAGTAGCAATCTGTCTCATGCTATACTCTTTCGGTCCATAAAGTTCGAATGTTTGACCGGTTGTGGAATCATCGTAGAGCATTTTTTCCAATGCGGCGCCAACGTCGATTGACTACGAGAGTATCAGTATCATCATTCAATTAGGTCTGCAAGGGAAGGGGGTGGAACTTACGTGGACTGGCCAAAATTTTTCTTGCATATTGTTGGCGGTGAAAAGGTTAAGAACGGAGGCAAGTTTAAGAAGTAGGTTGTCTTCGAAACCGAACATTGGTGCTGGTCTAACGAGAGTGGCTTCCGGGAAAATACTCCTGGCCACTTGTTCACCTCGAGCCTGAGATAAATAGGGCGTGTGAGGTTAAGCTCAGAAAGACCAGAAAGAAAATGAGAAATGACTGACCTTGGTGGCGTAAAATTCGGAGGCAGATTGCAGGTCGGCGCTGTGTGAGGAGACATGAATATATCTATCAACATCGTATTTTGCAACTGCTTCAACGATGCGTTCGGTGCCTTCCACGTGAACGTCATTGAGAGAAAAGTTCCTGAAACAGGGCTCAGCTATGCGTATGTTATGCGGCTAATGGTTTGCACAAACTTGGTAGGATAGTCTCGGCCAATCAAGTTATAGACAACATCGGAATGTCGGACGCTTGCTTCGATCGACGGCGTGTTCCGTAAATCATATTCCTATTTTAAAATTAATTAGGGCGAGAGGTTCCTTGGCTCTGGAAAAGGAAGCGAACTCAACATACGACAAAGACGACGCGACCAAGATCACCTGTAACCTTCAAATGGCGTTTCGTCATTTCTTCGCGGAATGGGACGACAACTGTACAACCCTGGCGAGCTTCACCAAGTTAGATTACATCTCACTACCCAGCAATTGAAGTCATAAACGCCATAAAACTCACCCAATCGATTCACAATATACCGACCCAATTGCCCAGTTGCGCCAAAAACTGTTGCAGTGTGACCTGTACGAGCCGTGAGCATTGCATTCAAGTAGAGTAGCAGGCATATAGATACCTCCTAGGGACGATCTAGAGCAGAGAATAAGTCAGCGGAATGCATTTATTTAGACTAGTGGCAATACTAACCGTCCACCTTCTACTCGGAGAATGGGTTTGCCGGTTCTTGTGACCGAAATATCGGAGGCGAAACGTCGGCAAATTGCATTATGAGTAGCTTGACGGGCTGACCGTGCGGCGTACAGGGGATAGGACATCTTTGCAGTTCTAGGCTAGATGTGAGAGAAGTAGTTACTCTCCTTGTCGACCTTGAACCTGGACACAACAAGCTATGTCGCGCGATTGCTACTCGGTTGTTGAATCGATACTTGGGCAGAGCACCGATCACGTGTACGGTCACGGGTACTCTAAATATGGTTAACTTCCTGGCTGGGAGACTATGCCCCACCCAGCTCTTCCCAGTAGCTCTGCGCATTAGGCTCCTGGTAGCCACGTCCTTGAGACACAGCATCTAGGCACTATTGCGTTCTTCAACCTTCCATCGCAATACCAAGCTTGCATTGCTTGTTCCTTTTGGTGTTACCGGTCGCTAGCATCGCCGCCAGTGCCGCAAAAGCCAAAGCGACAAAAAAAAGACGAAACCTGGCACTTAGAACCTTAAACCAGGTTACATCCTCCGTTCTGACATAGTCTAGCAGTCTGCTGCTCGGATAGAAAAGGTGCAATCAATACCTGACACGGTTACCATGGCCGTCGACTCGATACCGGATTTCCTCGCGGAGCAAAGAGACAAGGCACCGGAAGAGCTGCAGCCCCTTATACTTGACTTCGAAACATTCTGGGAGCGCAAGCTATGGCACCAGCTCACAGACTCGCTCGTTCAATTCTTCAATCACCCCAAAAGCGCCCCTCAGCGTCTGGCCTTCCATAAGGTGTTCATTCTGAAGTTTGCGGATAAAATTAACCAGCTCAAGCTGGTAGACCTTGCCTTAAAAGCCGCGACGCAGTGTAAAGGTATATACACAATGGAACTTGGCGAACGGATGTTATGGCTAATGGACTTCAAATAGATGACCAAGAACGCCTATCATTTTTACTATCTGTAGTGAAGAAGGTCGATAACGACACATCACAAGACGCTCTCGTGTTTGCGTCTGTGGCCGTATCCCGCGTGAAGCTCAACCTCAACAGACTGGATGATGCCCGGCGAGACTTGGATGCTGCCGAGAAGATATTGGATACCTTCGACTCAGTAGAGACTGTAGTCCACGCAGCATTCTATGATGCCAACGCAAGCTATTACCAGGTATGCTTATGTTCAAGGCGGCAGTATTGCTGCATTAACACTAACCATGTCTGGTAGAGAAAAATGGACTTTGCAAATTACTATCGTACATCGCTTCTGTACCTAGCTTGCATCGACTTGGCATCTCTCTCAAGTGAGGAACGTCACAGACGAGCCTACTATTTAAGTGTTGCAGCCTTGGTGTCAAGCAGCATCTACAACTTCGGAGAGCTCTTGCTTCATCCGATTCTCGATTCCCTTGCCGAAAGCGAGGACGACTCTTGGCTCCGCGACCTGTTGTTCGCGTTTAACCGGGGCGATCTTATAGCATTTGATGCTTTATCCGACAACGTTGCATCTAACAAGCTACTGAATGAACATTCAACGCATCTACGACAAAAGATTTATCTTGCTGCGCTTACTGAAGCCGTCTTTCGACGGCCTCCACACGATCGTACCATGACCTTCTCTACAATCTCACACGAGACAAAGGTCAAGCAGAAGGAAATTGAGCACTTGGTCATGAAAGCTTTAAGTCTTGGTCTGTTACGGGGAACAATTGACCAAGTGGACGAAGTTGCACACATCACTTGGGTACAACCAAAGGTGCTTGACATGAAGCAAATAGGCAACATGCGCCAACGTCTGCTCGACTGGGACTCCAACGTTAATCAGCTTGGTAACTGGATCGAGACCGCCGGGAAAGATGTTTGGGCTGCTTAAATCACGACTGATTTTCTGAATGATAAGGCGTCAAGTCGGCTATGTCCTTGAATGGGTCTTGGACAAGTGGAACTTTCCTGACATATCCTGGCATAGCCCAGCATGGATTCGTAGTTCTATCCACTACCAGCAATGGTAAGATATAGACATCTCAGACGGTACAAAAAATGTATATTAATAAAGGCAATGTTATTTCCTTCGTGGATGTCCCGATGAGCAGATTGCTTATTTCTTCTCCGTGGTGAACATTTCGGCGCCGTCGGAAGTCCCAGAGAGGACATTCGTCATCGCAACTAGCCAGGCCGGCCACCATATACACCAAATCACAACAGGCGTATACACGGCCCATACATTCCACCCAAAACTAGCCTGCTGCAAGAATTCAGCGACAGATGAGCCGGCGAGATGAGTTGCTGGATACACAACCACTGGTGGTGCCACTGCACTGAGCAAGGCAACGACAAAATATTTGGAAATAGTGTTCTTGCATGGTGTTATAAATGTTAATGGGCTGGCAAGCATGCCCACCAAGAATGCTAACGAGAAGTTCAGAGTAGCCAGCGTCGCTAATGCCATTCCAAGGACAAGCAAGGACAGCGACTTAGTCAGCTGAAAGTGCTGCGTCCTTTGTGTGAAGCATACGGGAAGAAGGTACGATATGATGAATGGAAGCACGGCAGAGAAGATGCAAAACATGGCCAATGAGCTTGGTAGCAACTAATTGTTGGGTCTGTGTCAGTGACATCAACTACAAAATCACACGATTTTGTGGCTTGTATGGAAATACAGGGATATTTTGGTGTACATACTCTTGCAGGAACATTGCTTAGGACGAAAAGAGGAATCACAGATGCGGCATGACACCCTGCCACAATCCCTAGGGGAAGAGAAAGATCTCGCTCGGTAGAGTTGATAGCAGGCGGGATTCCCGGAGCTTTGCTGAATGTTGGTTTTGCTGGAGCTGGTTTTTCAAAGGTTGCTACCACCGGCATTTGGACTTGTGCAGCGGGCTGTCCGCTCTTTACCCACAGAAAAATAGCCATGATCGTGAAGTTAGCGGCAAGGAGCATAGCACTCGGGAGATATGTACCAATGCTAACAAAGCGATCCCTCTGCATTAGCAGGTAAAAGAAAAAGCTTTGGTGGAGATGCTCCAGCAAATTATTTAAGCTCCGGAATGTGCCTTCTATAACACGTCCCATGGCCATCTCATCGTGCCAACCTTCACCATATGGTTGAAGTGTTACGGCATCGACATGATACGGGATAAAACTGCTGTGAGGTCCGGCACAGATGCCTAAGCCTTGTTTCAACATTCCCCGCAGCATCGTCATAAGCCGGTCTCGGTAGGAATCATTATGATGCTGCATGCCTTGTATTGCCGTCTGCATTCCCATTTGGCCCCCACCGATATTGACGATTGAGTTTATAAGATCGAGGTTGGGCAATTGCCCATTGGTGCCATCATAAATGATGTGAATACCGTCGAATCGTTGATCCATGGCGTAGTCAATAGCGATTGCACCCTGCAGTGCACCGGATTTCAGCGGCAATGAAGCAACGTTGTTGGAGTCGTGCGCATCATGGTACGCGTCCACCCAGGCTTGAGTTCCGGTTCGACTGTCCGGAGGTATCAGAATTATGATATCTTTCGACCAAAGTGACCAGCCTGTATCACTTCTTAGCCCGGTAACCAGTCATGGTTTCTGCTTAGATGGGTGAGACCTAGTAACATACGCTTGAAGTAGCGGGCGAGGGTGATGGCAAGAGCAACGCCGTTTCCATTAAATGTTTCATTGACGCTGCTCCAAGCAGCCACCAAAACTATTGCTTCGGTGGCATCCCCCCTGGGAGCTTGCAAAATTCCGTATACATTTTCGCCATTGTACGTTTTGCCTGCGGAATTGTATGTATAGTTCTGTCTACCGACTTTAATACCAGCGGTACTGAGAATGACTTCAAGGTGATTGTTGATGCTTTGATAGTAAGTTTAGAGATTCTTGGCCAGTTCATTCTCTGCTTGGTTTGGATTCCAACTTACTCGTAGTTGCTCTCATTAACCAATGTATCTAATTCCCGTCTATATGCCCTGAAGATATTCTGTTCGCTGCCGCCAAAATATGTATGTACCTGACCCGGAAGCAATGCATTCTCTGAGATATAGGTGCGCCGGGAGTAATTGTCGAGCGGCAACAAGACAAGCCAGATAGCTCCAACTAGGATGCAAACCAGGGAGAGATACGGTGGCAGTTTCAGCATGCGTGGATCCCGCCGTAAGGAAAGCGCCGATGCTGAAGACAGATATGTATCCATGTTAGAAGCTAGGGATGGGCTCCCATTTGATCAAATACGTGTGAGGGAATCAAGAATACTTACACAGCAACCTCGACATGCCGGTGGACTGTGCGACAAGACTAGCTTAGGTATAGGTAGCTATTGTTCTTGGTACTGGCAACAAGTCGGCCGTAGGGCCTGTTGCATGTGCTGCAATCGCGGTCAGTGGTTATGTCGGTTGGTAAGATCAGACGCGACATCGGCTGGGCACCTTGCTAGGTACGTTGGGGAATATAGTAGATACGTAGGTGCATGTGGTTGCATATACCGGGGTTCGCTAAGTGGGCCACTATTCGCCTGCCCTGTGTCATCATCTCCTTTCCAGAAGAAAACAGCCAAGCGACCATCATCAGAAACAACGTGACCCTTACCTGCCCGGATCGGAATAGCATTGCTCCATGTACTCCAATATGAGCAACGGTTTTGAATCTCAATTCCGAGACATGGCAAGACGTTGAACGATAAACTATTGCGCGTCTGTATCCTCGTGCTTCACCTTCGACTTGTTTTGCTCTGCAATTGCAGACAGTATCCCTTAAGGACTATTCCCTCCGCTGTTGACACCGTCGATCCTCAGTACTAGATCATTTTGGGACCGTGGCGATGCCCGCGATACGAGGCTTCAGCACCTTGCGTGCTCGGTCGTACATTTTCCGACTCCCTTTATTTACTCGAGCGATCATAATAGCCATACTTGTATTCTGGATACTTAGTATTCCATCGCTATGGGACCTGCATCAATGGGGCGCATTAATACCAGACAAAGTCACTTTCGCAACAGGTAAATTTCTCCTTGAGAATGTTGGCCATTTGCGCCCGAAGCCGAGCCTAACACTTTGCATAGCGTACCGATTGTCCACTTTTCCACTGATTCACTTGAATGTTATCCACGCGGTCCTGAATGTCGTCGCGCTGACCCCTTTAATGGAACGATTCGAAAACGAATACGGGACGCTCACTAGCTTAGCTTTGTTTTTTGGACGTAAGAATACCCTTTCCTCTGCCATTTGGCAAAGCTATGGTGCTATCTGACGCCTCGCAGCTTTAACTACAGTCCCGGCTCTGCTGTATGTTGTCATCGAAGTGGGAATTTTGAGAGCAAACAATGCTGTTATGGGAGCAAGGTGAGAACAGCCCTGACAAACAGTGTGTGCAAGCAGGAAGAGTCTAACAAGAGCCCAAAAGTATATGGGTATTCTTGCTTCTCGGCATGGAAGCCATTCGAACATACCGTTCCAATCCACACTTGGTAATTGGTACATATCATATCCCAACATGGACGACGCCACTACTCATGATATTCGTTGTGGCCGTCTTGATACCTAATACTAGCCTCTTGGGACACTTGTGTGGCGTGGCTGTAGGCTATATATGTATGACAACTAAGATCCTGCGAGTTGGGGATCATGATTGGCTGACGATGTCTACTTTTTCACAGGCGGTATTGGGTACCTCAAATTTATTGCCCCCCCAGAATGGGCGTTGCGATGGATAGAAACGCGGCTTAATTTACTGGCTGTTCTCCCGCACTATGTAAGCGTTGATCAAAAAACATACGGTCGTTTTGGCGTCTTGCCATCAACGACGCGATCAGGAGGCAGCAATGCAACAGAGTTACTTGGAAGTACACAGCGACTTGGTCCATGACAGCCCGCCGGGCTTGCTCGAGGTATTGAACTATATGGACCCTGATGAGATAATTACTGTACAACATTTGCGTGCGAGAAATGGGCACAAGCCAGCGAGATGAGGGTTATGCATCTAATATGGAGTTACGGACACTGGTTTCTGTGCAAAATAGTCCTTGTATTGGCACGTCGGATTAAGCAGGCTCTGGCACGTCCTTTAACATCAGCAATATGTTGACTTTAGCGGAGCATGAAGAAGGATCCTCAGCCTCGTTCATCATGTTTCGCAAGCGCTCCACGCAATACTTAAGTTAAAGAAATTAGACATTACGCTCGACGCCGTTCACGGACTGTACATCACTGATAATGCCTGTCCCCGACAACAGCTTCGTGGCTTAGGGGCTTCTTATCAGCATACTTTTGGACTTGTTGGACAGGATATGCTAATAGAAAAACGCTCATGTGTCAATTGTCGACCAAGCTGTTGATCAGATGCAGTATTGCAGACATGGATTTAGCCTGTGGTATGACTGTCTTCACCACTATGCGGCGCTGCGGCTCGACATACCCGTATTTTATTATACAAGCTTGAGGAAGCTGTACATAGTTCTAAATGTATTTACTCATCTTCATATACTGTTTGTTTAGTCAAATTGCACTTCCTGATCCACGATTGGCTCCTATGCTTCGTGTAAGACGATATCGAATAGTAGAGCAAGAGCTTGTTAAAAGAATGGTCTCGTGCATGATTCATTTATCAAGCCAAGCCAAGATATCCATGGATACATAAGTACTGTCTCCAGCCGACTAAACATTCTTCTATTCGCCGAATCCGGACACCGCTGCACACTGTTAGTGCACTTACGAGCAGACATGTCCTGATGACGAAAATAAGAGCAAACTCAGTACATTAGCAAATAAGAAATACAAGGTTATCAGACTTCTCTATTAGTTATATATTCTCTGTCAATTAGTATTAGTTACATCATGGGACATAATTTTAGACCAGCATTAACCATCGTAGTCCAACCCTTATGT